GGGGGAGGGATGAATTAATGTAGTCGGTCCTCATCTGACATCAAGTGTCCCTGTTGGACAGGGATCTCTTGCAAGGGCACCCCTTGACCACAGGCTAGAGATGGCTGTCTTTGCCTCAAACATCACTCTCTGGCCTGGTCAATCCTGGCTAAGGAGGGATGGTCACAGAGTTCAACGCACAGTGACCACCACTAGGCAAAGTAGTTAAACAGGGCCAGAGACACGGCAGGCACTTAACAGCTTAGAGTCCGCTCTCTAGTATTTTGGGTTCCCTGGATAATGATTTATGCTGACTTTTGTTCTTGGCTTTCAGCTTTTCTGTGGACTCCATAGGGGTTTCAGTGGCCAATCTAAGTTCTATGATCTCGTTCCAACCCAAGAAGGGCTCACTGACCACAACAGAAAAGCCCACAAATGTGCAGGTGTTCTTCCGCGCCAAGAAGGAAGTGAGGATAGAGCACCAGCCGGTCCTGCGCTGTCAGGTGAGAGAGCTCAGAGGGAGGACTCAGCAGCGGGACTGTAGGACTCACGTTAAAAGGAAGAGAACATGCCTAACCCATGCTCCAGGTGGGGACAGGGAGGGCTGGCCTGGGTGGCAACCAGAGAGGATGCACCAGGGTTTGGTCCCCAGCTAGTAGACACAGGTAGGTCAGGTGGGAGGCATGCAAAGTCATCAGAAATTGAGAGCACCAGAAAGGAAGCGTGGACCCTTGTCTTCGGGGAGCACCTGAGACAAGAAAGCTGAGGTTAGTCATCAAGTGCAGAGAAAGAGTGGACAGGAGGCAAAGTTGGTCTTTGTCAGCAGTTTTCAGCGGGTGAGCCGCAAGAATTTTTAAAACATGCAACACCTGACTATTTAGTCGGGGGCACTGACCTCTCTTCTCTTAGATTGCCAAATAAAAAATGACAACAGCCAACACAACAATAGCCGTCCAGTGTGAATGAATCAAAATTATACCTATTTTTTGTCAGATGGGCAAAAAATATGTTTTTTGGTGTGCCGCAGGATTTTAGTAATTAATTTATAAGTGCCATGAGATGGAAAAGGTTGAAAATCGCTGGTCTATGTTGATCCATGGCTGGTACATAGTAAGTTTTATGTTATTATTTGCTAATATTGTCGATGCAGTACTACAAAGAGAATGAAAGGAACTTGGCTTCATGTCAATGACAAAAATAGGGAATGAATTAGTCATTGGAATCATGGAGTTATGCCAGTAGCTGACGCCTTCCCAATCCTTTTTCCCTTTCTAGATCATTGAACCCAATATCACAGAAGGAGGTGAAACCATTGCCAGCATCCCAATTAAGTTTTCTGTGAATGCAGTGTTCTCTAAATACAGCATCAGCCCCTCCTCCATCATCAACTTTGGGGCTCTGATCTGTGGCACTCGTAAAAGCGCCACCTTCACCATAGAAAATCAAGGTGTTACTGACTTCAAGTATGGCCTTTATAGGCTGACAGGGGAGAGCTCCGTTCTTCAAAAGAAAGCGTAAGACAAGCATTTGCTTGACTCATTCCATTCACTTGTTAATTACTACTTTATATTTTACGAAGAGCTTTCATATATTTTATCTAAATTCACCCAATTCACTGTTGTGGGTGAGGTCATTAAGAAATGACTCATCCACCCTGGCTGGGTCGCTCAGTTGGCTGGAGCATAGTCCCATACACCAAAAGGTAGCTGGTTCAATTCCTGGTCAGGGTGCATGCAGGAGGCAACCGATCAATGTTCTCTCTCTCTCTCTCCCTTCTTTCCTTTCTCTCTAAAAAAAAAAAAAAAAGAAAAAGAAAAGAAAAAATGACTCGTCTGAGATTATGCAAGAAATCACATGCTTTCTAATTAATTGACTTTCTAATTAATTTAAAATTTTTTATTAATTAATTTAAAGTTGAATTTCTAATAAATTGTTTTAAATCAGATACACATATAGCTTTATATTGTTTGTAGTCATTTTATACCTTTGTGGAGATCCTCTTTCATTTTGACAAAGTTTGAATGTATTAAGAGATTTTTTTTGTTGTTAAACTGTCTAAAGTCTCTTTCTTCCTAATTTAATTTCAACCTAATTTTTTACTTATTTTATAATAATTTTATCATCTTTATTTAGAGATATTATAATATAATTGTGTTTTGCTTTACATTGTTTTTCATTTATTTTTCAGTTTAGCATGCACAAACTCACGCAAAACACTCAGTAGAGGATAGGACTTCAGTTGTTCTGGTCATTAAGCAAGCAAATGCTCAATTATATAAATCTCTCAGAAGTTTAAGATTGCACCTCAAATACACCGGAATATTTTAGGGAAACTAGCCTTTAAGCAAACTAGTTACTGGGTAAACTAGCATCAGGCGACGTGAACAGTTACCAAAACCTGTGTTTGTGCTATTGCTTAAACTAAGCCTTAAAGGCGCCATGACTTTAAATGTGAAGAAAAGGGACAGAGTTTCATCTATTTGCCATTTCATTTTTTTAAGTGAGAACAGGTAAAAGATTTGCTGTCTACAAATAATTTCTACACACTGCTTTCCAATGAACTCAAGTAAACATTTAAAAATTATTACTCTCTTGCAGTAATTTTCAATGTCCTTATGAATCATATGTACTGCATCATTTTCTCACAATTGTTAAATGAGTTTGGCAAATGATGAATGCTGACTATACTACTGCAGTTCCCTCTTAGGCAAAGAAGGGCCCTTCCCCCATTCCTAGGAGAAGGGACCTTGCAAGCAGACAGACAGGTGGTGTTTAATGTCACCACCCCAACCTAAGGGTGTACTCTTGCCTCTTTGATCAGAATCAGCAGCCACAGTAGGCACGGAAGATCCCGGGAAAGCGAGAGCTTCTTCAAGGCCGGCCCTTCCAGATCAACCAAGTACTCTGAGACGGTTCAGAAAGAAATAAACATCACTAGCCAGGTAAGGCCCCTTTCCCTTGTTCACAGAAACTCTGTAAGGCCACCTTCCAACTAGTTAACTAGTTCTTGCAACAGATACCTTCCTAGGACAGCAGGATTTGAATCTACTGCGGCAGGCATGTTACATGGTTATACTGAAACATCACTTTCATTTCAAGGTGTTATGACTTTTAATTTGGATATCCTCTTTTGTTTTAAAACTTTCATTGGCTCCTCACTGCCTTAAAATTAAATTTCAACTCTTCATATATATTGTAATTAACAATCTTTTGCTTAAAAGAAACAGAGGCCCATTTAGACTGGCTTAAATAAAAGGAGATTCGAAGACACCTGCTTCTGGTAAGATGGAGTAGATATACTTTTCCCTGTTCCTCCCAACCAAGTACAACCAAACCCCCTGGACATTATGTATAAAACAGGTGGAAAGGAAAAAATCAGACCAGCTAGGGTCTTTGGGACCCAATGAACATCATGGTGGTGAGTTCCCTGAGTTTTCTTTCTGCCTCATATATCTCATCTGGGTGCTGAAGGAGCTGGCAACCCAGAAACATCACCAGACACAGACCAAAATAAAGCCCCAACAAAAGCCTGCTCCTGCTAGCCAAAGGACCAGGAAAGAGCAGCCTAGCAAAAGAGAAAACTTCAGTTAAGAACTGTTCTATTACAGTCTAACAGGACAGATAATCTATGATCCTACCCCACCATTGCTAGCAAAGGGCAGTGGGAAGAGTTTTGGCACATCCAGGCTATAATGAGAAGCCCCAAGCCCCTGCCAGAGGGGTGTCCTGAGAACACCCAGTGGGTAGCCAGGAGTTTCATTACCCCCCAGCACCTCCACCATTGTTAGTGGAGACACCACATGGGAACCTTGAATTTCACCTCAACCCAGTGGTAATGAGATGTTCCTCCCCCTCCAGTGGACCCCCCTCATCAACAGGAGAGTAAGGAAGCACCCCCCCCCCCTTGCCAGGGAGGGATCAGTTGAGGACTAGTGGGGAGCCAGAAGTCCTGCCCCTGCCCGGTAGAAATGAGAAGCCTGATGGGGACTCTGGATTACCTCCCCGCCTGGAAGTGATGAGCAGTGCCCCCACTTCCCCTGACAGAGTGGTGCCAGAGAAAGCCGGGTCAAAGAGGTGTAAATAAGATTCAGAGTCTCACAATACCCAAAATGTCGGGGTTTCAACTGAAACTCATTTGTCGTACCAAGAACCAGGAAGATCTCAGTTTGAATGAAAATAGACAAGCAATAGATGCCAACACTGAGATGACAGAGATGGTAGAATTATCTGACAAAGACATACAAGCAGCCAACATAAACATGCTTCAGAGAGCAATTACAAACACACTTGGAACATCTGAAAACACAGTATGATTCAGCAAAGAAAGAGAAGCCATAAAGAAGAACCACATGGAAATTTGGGAAGTGAAAAACATGAATAAGCAAAATGTAAAATGTAATGAAGGGGTTCGACAACAGAATGCAGGGGAGATTCCCACCCGTGTAAGTTACACGATGTGGAACATGTCTGTCCCCCAAGCCCCCACTCAGTCATGATTGGTCAAAACAAAAGGAGTGATCTCTGTGCTTCATCTGAGACCTTGCTGAGAAAGAAGCACTGAGAGAGCCCATCCCTGAAGAACCCCCAGGCCCTCCCTTCCTCCCAGAGAAGAGCTGGGGCCCAGAGAAAGCCTCTGGGGGAGCTCCCACCAGTCCCTCTGGACACCATCTCACAACCCTGGTAGAAGGGCTCGGACTCTGTCACCCACTCTGCCTCCACCCCTCCCGCAATCCCACTGTTTCTTGCAGACTCGCTATAGCCATGGCATGTTCACCGTGTACCCTGGGTTTGGCTCCATCTCTCCCGGAGGATTACAGACCATCACCGTCGACTGTGTGGCTGACCCTGTGGGAAAGTGTGAGGAGTTTATAGCGATCGATATCTCGGACCGAGACCCAAGAGACCACCCTGCTGGCATTCCTTACACCCTATTGGCTGAAGCCTGTCTACCAGGTACGCAGCACTCGGATGGGACAGCACCCCTTCAAAAACTTTCCTCTCTAACAGCCCCCCACCCTATGCACATGTCTAGCAAACATGTCTGGGCTGCTGCCTTTGGGGCCTTAGAACTCCCTCTAGTGTCTTCAGCCTTATTTTTCCCTCAAGACTTAGAAGGCATGCACACCTAGAAGGGGATGGTCAGCTTTCAACTCCTAGTCTTCCTGAGTTGGGTCGGGGATCCTCAGAGGACTATTGTTCTCTGGGAATCGTGATGTGATGGGATATGGCACAAGTCCCAGGAACACGGAATCCTGCTCATGTCCAGCTCACTCCCTGCGGGCAACACGTGCAGAGAGAACAGTGTCAGCGGCTGAGCATGCTATGATTTTAACCCAGCAAGATCTCAGATGAGGCACCGAGAGAACTTTTGCTTTGGCTATAGGCACCCTGCAGCCTCGCACCAAAGTGAGCCAGATGCCTCCTTCTTTCTTAAGCCCACCCCAGATCCCTCTTTGCCATGGGGAGGACAGGTGGTTGGGGTCTGGCGACCCACCAGAGCAGTACAAAAGAAGTTAGAATGTGTCCTGTCACTCGCAGCCTACCTCTCCGACTGTCCTTTGTCGGAATCCAAACCTCCCGATGAGGAATTAGGGGAAGCAGGGACTGGGCTGTCGGGCTGCGTCTCAGTCTCCCCTCCACTCCCCAGCCTTCGTGACTGACAACAATGCCTCAATATTTGAGGAGCACCAGATCTGTAGCAGCGCCAACCTGTCCAGCACCCTGCAGGCCACAGAGAGCAGGGGGCTGTTTGTGGAGGATGAAAACAAATTCATCTTCAGCAACGTGCTGGTGGGCCAGCAGGTCAAGGCTCGGTTCAAGATCAGCAACGTGGGCAAGATCACCTGCGACGTGAACATTGTGGTTAAGCCTATCTCCAACAAGGTAAGCAGCCCCTCTCGGCCCTGCCTACCGCAGTTGGCAGAAAGCCAGGAAGAGGGCTCTTGGAAGCCCCTGCTCTGGAGCCTCTCTACACGAGTGGGGATTATCTGGCACTCAGGGCCTGCTGGAAGCTGTGGGAGGGAACTGGGCAGCTTCCCCTAGGCCAGGAGCCATACATTCGTCCCAATGCCTGTCTCCTCTGGGTACCTCTGTGATACGCTAGGACACAGGAATGAGCAACACTCATCTATCAAACCCGCACTGTGTGCCTACAGTAGAAACAGCACTGTGGGGAGAGTCAGGCTGAGTGCCAGCTCAGGCAGGCTGCCTCAGATCACACCGTCATCTGGTAAGAGAGATTCCGGGGATGTCAGATTATAAGCATAAGGCTAACTGATGAGCACTTATTAAGCCCCTGCTATATGCTAGGCGCTGTGCTAAATGATTTACACTTATTGCCTCATTTCATCCCCACAAGTTTGTATCATCAGACTTTTTTATTGTATCCCCATTTCACAGTTAGGGAAATTGAGGCTCAGAAAAGCTAAATTCTTTCCCTAGATCCCAGAGCCTAGGGATATAGGGCTGGGTTTAAAGCCAAGCTTCATTTGCATACAAGGTAAAGAGTAAGTGTCCATCTCAGGGTCTGCCAGACTTGAAACTGCGTTCCCCTCTGAGTCAGGCCATACTGAATCCTTTTTCCTCACAGTGGAACAGAAAATTCAGGATGACAAGAGAGATGGCTGAATTAATCCGTTTCACTCACCCTTAATTTCCAATCAGATGTGCTAGTCTTATCTCAGCTGCTCAGTTCTCTGCCCCAAAGTGGAATCTTGACCCAGCAGGTCCTTGGCCCCCAGAGCAGGCATTGTTCGCATGGTTGATGGGTGTGGGAAGATCACCCAGAGGGTTGGCCTAGCCTAGAGTCAAGAAGAGAGCATGCATTGCCAGTGGACTGTGACCCACTGCAGAGGGGCAGAGTTTAGGAAACCATCTAATTTCTTTTATGACTTCCCTTGGGCCCTGGTGACATCCAGTCATTACTCTCTTACCTTATTTGGGACACAAAGGGGCAGCTTTCTTCCTATTTTGTACTAAAAACATAAAAAAGTTAGGGAACCTGATTTCTAAACAAAGATAGGTTTCTAACAGGGGGTTTGCAGACATATGCTCTCCCCCTCCCTGGTTTGCACACTATGCACTGGAAAAAGCAAAGAAACTTAGTGCCCTCAGGTTGAGAACAAGAGGAGATAGTCAGATTTGAATCCCACCTGCCTCCCAGGAGAATAAAAAATCCTTTTTAGCCATGCCAGGGGTTCCTACGGCCTCCCCAAAACACAGCCACAAGACGGAAACAGATCAAGTGCTGTGGAAGGCTGTTCTAGGTAAAGCTCTTGGAGTTACAAGGAGCAGAAACCCGCTCAGGACAGCCCAAGCAGAGGTTTGCTCCAGTGAATCAGAGACCTCAGGCAAGGTCAGGACACACCCTGCAGCCAGAGCTCTGTGGGACTGGAACTGTCACCTGAAATCCAACTTTCAGACCAGTAGGGGCGCTGTCTACCCTTCAAGGACCACAGGTTTTCACTCATCCTGTCTCTGTTGTTCCATTCTCTAGTCTGGCTTCCATTTCAGCTCTGCATCAGCAACCCCCAGAGATCTCTGGGGATCTTAATTTAGTTCAGAGAAACAGAGAGACAGAGATGGATGCCTGACTATCCAAGATCTGGATTAGTCCATCTGTTTGAGTCAAAGATCACAGGTCTAGCCAAGTCCAGCTAGTTATTGCTGAGAGATGGGTCCCAGAGTATCTAGACTGCTCCTTCCAGAGCCATGACTGTGCAGGCAATGGAACATGTTTGCCACAGAGCTTAGAGGAGGGAGATTTCACAGCAGGGTCAATAGAGATAAACAGCAAGCCTTGTATCAATGCAAAGTAGCTAACACACGTGCTGGTTCCTGCCCCCCTTCATCAGATCATTGCCCGTATCGTCGACATTTTTGAAGTGGAACCCAACAAGATGAACATCGCCAGTCACTCACATGCCTTTGCCACGGTGTCCTTCACACCCCAGGCCATGCAGACCTACCAGTGTATCTTCGAGGCTACCTTGGATGGCGTGCCCAGGTACCAGCTCCACAGTAACCTCACACTCTATGGAATGCCATTCCTGCCATGCCAGGCTGACAGGCCTCCATCTCCCTGTTCCCTGCAGCAACCAGACCAAGAACCGAAGCCTCGTGTTTGACATCGTGGGAGAGGGGAACCTCCCTCGAGTGACCGTTGTGCGGCCAATTCTCCATAACCAATATGGAAACCCCTTGCTCCTCTTTAAGAGGCTGCTTCTTGGTCATTCAGATAAACTACCTCTCATCCTCAAGAACAACGGCTCCATCCCTGCCCAGGTACCACTGGAGGGTGAAGCGTGGGGTGGAAAGGGACAGGAATCACTCAGAAGCAAGACTTCTGACATCGAGGTCTCTGCCACCCCAAATTTACAAGGACTTCTTCTTTGATGTTCCCCATCCATTAACCTGTGTAAGACATAGGACATGCAGAGGGAAATCAGGCATGGTTTCTGTCCATGGGGGTGTCAGAAAGCAGATTACATAGTACACTAATAATTACTGTGTGAGGCAGTGTACAATGATACACACCAAGCGTAGTGGGTAGGATTCTGGGCATTTTTGGTGTCTTCTTTATTTTTTTATGTAATGAACATTGCCTTTACAATAAGGAAAAACAAAAGAAACCTCATTAGGGGTGAGAGATGTAACATCTATAGGGACTTCTGGTTCAGCAATTAAATTATGTTTTTATTTTACACCCCCAAAAGGTGCTAAATTGTTTAAGGGTTATGCAAAGGACTGTAGGACTTTTGAAAATGACCTTGATCCCATCCGGGGGATCAAGGAAAATTTCACTCTAAAATGCCACTTGAGTGGCATTGAAGATGGCTGGGTTTTTAGTTGGTGGGCATGGCAGTGAGTGCATGCCCAGGTAAAGAGAGAAAACTGCAAAGACAGAGGCACAGAAGAGAAGCAGAGAAACGTAAGGTGCAAACAGGAGCTAGTAAGCACCAGCTTCATGAGAGCGTAGTGTACAGATAGAAGAGCAGTGGGAGAGAAAAACAGAAGGTACAGTAAGGGGACAACTTGTGGAGGGCTTTGGATTCTATATATATTCTAAACCCTATGGACATTATTACTATTATTGCTATTGTTGTTTATACAGTTAAGACTCATTTAGATCTACCCACATGGCTGTCATCTGTGTGTGCGCTTTTATTCCTGCATCTCCAACTTTCCACCTGAAATCCTTTTCCTATCTACTGAGGAATACGCATTAGCATTTCTTTAATGCATGTCTGCTGGTGGCGAATTCTCCATTTCTATTCGAAAATCTCTATTTCTCTTTCATTTTTAATATGTTTTTTACTTGCTGTAGAATTCTCGGGGTTAGCAGTTGTTTTCTTTCAGCAAATGGGAGAGATTCCAGTGTATTCTGGTTTCCATTGTTACTGCTGAGATGCCAGCTTTAAGGCAATCTTTTCCCTCTGACTGTGTTTAACATTTTCTCTCTGTATTTATTTTCTGCTGTTTCACTATTATGTGTCTAGGTATGGATTTCTTGTAATGTATCCTTTTGAAATTCACTGGGCTTCTTGATTCTGCAATTAATGTCTTAAATCAGTTTTGGAAAATTCCGAGACATGTTCAAATATTGCTTTTGTTCCATTCTGTCACATCTCTCCTTCTGGGAGGTCAATTAAACATAATTTCACCGTATTTGCCATCCATTTTTCTCTGGATTTCATTGTGCATAATTTCTTTTACCTGTCTTCAGTTTATTAACTTTCCTTTTAGCTATATCTAATCTGCTATTAAACCTTCCATTAAGTTCTTATGTCATTATACTTTTTAATTCTAGAATTTCTATTAGATTGTTTTTCAAATCTACATAATCAGTTTTTATGATTTCTAGTTTCATGCCAAAATTGTCTGACTTAGTTTTTATTTCTTGAATATAGTAATCACAGCCATCTTGCAGTATAGCCATGATAATTCCAAAATCTGGAGTCTGTGGATCTGTTCCTGGTATATGCTATTTCTGCTCATTTTTGCCCATGTTATCATGTCTCCTCATGTGCCTGGTTATCTTTGATCATGTGTTGGGTATTATATTTGAAAACTTATTTTTAAATAATTAGACTAAGGATGATGTTATTTTTCTTCAGAGACAATTTTCATTCGCTTCTACCTGCCATTAGAAACTTGGAACCACCTTAAACTGGTTTTAGAGCTTGAGATTTGAGATTTTCTGGCTTACATAGATGAGCAGGATTGCTATCCTTGGCAGAGCCGGTTTATATCCAGCCTACCTTTTGTCTTATTGTGCAGACCTTTGGGGTCCTAGTCTAAAGCAAACAGAGCACTCTCGTTCTTCACAGGACTTTTGCCCTCTTAGCACCAAGAGACCAGTGCAGCCTCCCACATTCCTCCTCCAGACTGACAAATGCCCCAGGTCAGAACAGCCCAGAAAGTTAGGCTGCCCTCTCTGGATTTCCACGTTCTCCCAGATCCTGGTCTGGTTACTCTTCATTATCATCTTAGCTCTGTGATGCTTTTAAATTATTGTTATTGTTGTTGTCCTGCATTTTTTTATTGTTGTCTTGAGTCCAAGTATACTTACTATTACCCCATGTTGTTTCCTTATTATGTTGTTGTAAATGTTTTAGCATGCAGTTCACCCACTCCCCATTTTTCTAACTTAACAATTTTTGCGTATCTAGTCTCTCCGATTAACTTTAGACATCATTTCATAATGTTCCACAGAAATTTCATCAGGAATCCTATGAATTATTTGGGAAGAATTCTACTTTTAGAGTATTTAGGCTCTCCACCAGGAGCAACATTTAGGATTCCCACCCTTTTATTTAGGTCTTTTCTATCAATATTTTTCTGTAATTCCTGTTATATAGTTTCTTATTAAAGTTATTTCTAAATATGTAATGTTTTTCTCTCAGAAACTTCCTACATGATGTCAGTATTTCTTCCTTCTTTGTGTCTCACTTTTCATATTACCCTATCTTGCTTATGATGCTCATGATGGTGCCAGCATTACTATCTTCTAAAAATGTTTGCTGATATGTCATACCTAATATTAGATATATCATTTTAGCTTTTAAAATCAGATATATGGCCTCCAGTGGACTGGAAAACATCCTTTTTCTCCAAGTAGGTCAGATGCCCACCTTGGTTCTCCTCTTATCTTGGTAGGCTACTCAACCTGACACTATCAGGCAACTAAAGCACTAGTACCTAGGAGATACTGGTTTTTAGAAACTCATACTCATGCCCTCCCTCACAGAATGACAAATACTCAATTCCATTTTATTAGTCTAGAGTATACTTTACAACTACCTGTCAGTAGTAGAGGCCCTGGCAACCCCACAATGACGCTACTTAGCTGAGGGATCTAGAAAGTCACCTGTACTCTCGGGGCCTCCAATTCCTCACTTGGATAACAAGAGCTGAACAAAATTTTCTTTTTCCTCCCTGGGTCTAATGTTTATTATAGCTCCCTCTTAATAAGAAACAAAAAATTGGGCACTAGGCACGATTGCTTTTTTGGAGTACTTCCCAAACAGCACAGTATCTCACTATAGACTCAAAACCCATGAGCAGCTTGTAAGTGTAACACTCAATTCCACTTTCCTTCTGCCAGCTGCATGTTGACCTGCAGGACCAACTAGAAGTCTTCTCCCTGAAAGGGAGGCCCACTACCTCCTACATCTACATCATAGAGGAAAACAAACCCCAGGCAAAAGGTAAGTTGAGGAACAGTAGCTTCTACAGAACAATGGGACCCAGTAACTGTTTTGTTAGGGGTCCAATAGGGAACCAGACAAAGTACGATGTCCAGCCTTGTCACCAATGGCCACTCTCAGCAATGTTCATTCCCACGCTAGGGCAGCTTTCCCTTGAGTCAGGGTCCTTATGGAGGCATCTTCCTTTAAATTGCTTCTAAATCACTCTTCTCTTCTCTTTGCAGCAAAGAAAGCTCACACAGCCTCCCTGGTGGTTCCTCCTGGAGACACAGCTGAATTTGACGTTGTTTTCCACGCCCAAAATGTTGGGAGAATGACAGGGATCATCCACTTGTCAGTGATCAACAATCAGTATGAGAACACAGTCATCCACATGGTGGGAGAAGGCTACGAGGACGACATCACTTTGGACAACATCCACGGGCTGGTGGCTTCCACCAGCCAGGAGGCCTTTGATATCTCGGAGGTCACCGAGGAAAAAACTATGGATGACTTGGTGGCAGGTAGGAGAAGCAGTGAGGTGTTGACAACTGTTGGCTGCTGAGTCTTTTTAAATGAGAGTGGAATTTAAATAACAGATCAACTAGCTTCCTGGGAACTTAGGGCTACATCTCCTCTTCATCACCATGTGCTCTTTCATGCCTGGCTCCATCACTGCATTCATTCATGAGTTCCCTCAGGGAACATTTATGGAGCATCCCTGTGCCTGCGACAGGCGCTGCACTGAGCCCTGGAGTTCCAAAGAGTAACAGGAGTCTCTGCCCTTAGGGGGCTTATAGTTTGAGCTCAAATTCAAATTTAGCTAATAAGCAGAGTTCAAAATTCAGGCTCCAGATTAGCTAAGAACTGTTCCTGTAGTGTTCCCTGTTTATATCTGTTAGCTGGTTTATGTTGACGTTGTCTGTTTCATCGGAACCATGTATCCTAGACATTTGAAGAGAGATGGCGGGCTTGTTTAACTAGACAGGGCGTAGGCTTGTGCCTCCTCCAGAGCATCATTCTCCACAGTCTCACTACTCAATGCACTGACCCCCGACAGCATCAGCATTACCTGGGAGCTGCTTAGAAACGGGAATTTCAGACCCTACCCCAGCACCTCAGACATACTGAATCAGAATCTGTGTTTTAGCAAAATCTCTAGGTGATCCATGTGTATATTAAAGCTTAAGACATCCTGCTCTGCCGTCTACCAAGTGCTGCAGCTTCGCTGGGTTGACTGTACTCTTTGGGGTAGGAGAAAATTTACTTCATCTTCATCCCCAAAAAGCATTTGCTAAGCACCCTGAACGCGTGCCTGATCATGTGCCTAATTGCTATGCAGTGAGTCATAAAAACAGTCTCACAGTTTTTCTAGGAGCGTCATTATAGCCCTGGAATGTAGCATTGTGCAGTCTGTATAACATGGGTAAAAACCAACACTCCTCACCCCTGTTTGTGGCCATAGGGTGACATCTCTCTTATCACAAGTCTAGCAGGAACCAGCAGTGAACCCTAGCTCAGAAATCAAATTGTATACCTCTAATAGGCTTGCCAGATTTAGAAGGTCAGAATTCAGGAGTCCCCATTAAATGTGAATTTCAGATAAGTGATGAATTATTTTTTAGTTTAAGTGTGTCCCAAAATATTGCATGGGACATATTTATATGAAAAATTACTCATAGTTATCTGTAATTGAAATTTAACAGGGACTCCTCCCATATTTTATTTGGCAACCCTAACCCTTGGTCATATTGTTTCAGCAAACAAATGGATTTGGGGACCTATGTTTTCTCTTGGAGGTAAGGGCCAAGGTGGATGGATGGACAGACTAATGGACGGATGGATGAATGAGTGGATGAATAAGTAGACCCCCCCCAAGGAGGGAAAGCTTACAGCTCAGGACTCTAGGTTTTTCCAATAGAACATCCGAGGAGGGGGGGTGAGGCACAATGTCTTTCAGGTGCTGCCCCCTCTGGCAGGAGCCCTAGGAGGAGGCCAGGGAGCACTCACTACCTTCTGCTTATATCCCCTAGCTGCTCTGGTGGACCACATTCAGTTTGGGGACTGCCACATTGGAAACAGCTATAGCGTGAGCTTCACAGTCACTAACCACAGCCAAGCGAATGTGATACGGTTTGAATGGCCTCTTTTACCTACAGTTTCCTTTTCCCCACAGGTAAGTGAAAGCCATTCACTGTTCCTGGACTCCTTTAGGCCTTAGCCAAACCCATCTGATTGTCAGTCCATTCCCGTGGGTGCACGGGATGGGATGGACCTCACTCAGACCTAGTATGGGGGACACACTGTTCATGCCCCCTCTGACCTATGAGCAGGGAATGAGTCTGCCAAGACTGTTGCTAGGCTGATGCTGAGGAATTCCATGGGTAGAGGGAAACACATCCCAGCCTTCCTATCCCAGAGTGTAGACCTGTGTCCCCCCTAGGTATGTGTTCTTTAAGCATTAGTCCTGCAAAAGTGGTTCACTAGAGGGAAAACAGGGGTGATGGTTTCTGTGGACAACTGAGATTTAGAAAATGTTTCAAGCTACATCTTTCTCTTAAACATTCCCAGTGCCCTTCAGCATACTAAAACCTAGTTAACTGGGTTTTACCTGGAATTTTCTAACCCCTTCTTTTAGCATCTCACAGGACACATTTTATGAATTGCTAACCAAAGCTCAATGTTGACCAAGGCTTAAGACAACATGGTAGCAGATCCTAGCCTCTGGCCAAGAGTTGTTTTCCATCGGTAGTTGATTTCTGAGGTCCCAGGACATTGGATACACACAGATCTATCCTCTGCCTCCAAATGTTTCAGCCACCAAATCTTCAAATGCAGAACTCTAGGGGCATAGAACAAGGAGGGTTGGGAACCTTACCTTTAAATCTTTGAGTGCTATCAGGAGGAAGCGTTGCTTCCTGAAGGGATGTGAATCGTTAGTCAAAGCAGGCAGAGATAAGCATCTTAGAGTCCATTTGGATACACTCACAAACACTGCCCCCTCACCCCACACACACACTTGTGCGTTCATACACACATATCTGTGGTCTTGGGAAGTACAAAGCTTTCTTCTTTATTCACTTTTAGAGGAGGTAGAGTTTCAGAAATATGAAAGGACTATCATATATATATGTACATATATATNATCTGTGGTCTTGGGAAGTACAAAGCTTTCTTCTTCATTCACTTTTAGAGGAGGCAGAGTTTCAGAAATATGAAAGGACTATCATATATATATGTACATATATATGTATATATATGATACATCTATGAGGTTTGTATGTGTGTGTTTATGTATGCAAAATCATAAATGATTTCCTTCTACAGAACAAATAGGATTTCCCATGTATCTGGTACACATCAGCAAGTCTCAGCCTTTATGGCCTCAGGACTCCTTTACACTTCTAAACATGATTGAGGACCCCCCCCAAAGAGCTTTTGTTTATGTGGTTTATACCTATCAATATTTACCATATTTGAAATTAAAACTGAGGATGTTTAAAAACATGCATTTATTTATTCATTTTAAAATATAATAATAAACCCATTACATGGTTATATAAATATACTATTTTTATGAAAATGGCTAAATTTTTTAAAATATAAAAATTGTGTGGGAATAGTGGCATTATTTTGCAGTTTTATAAATCTCATTAATATCTGACTGGTTAGAAGACAGCTAATTCTCATACTTGCTTCTGCATTCAATCTAATGCTATATCATATGTCACATAACCTCTAGAAGACTCCATTCCATAGTCATGAGAAAATGAGAATGAAGGCAGTCAGCATCTTAGTATTATGATGAAAATGGTTTTGACCTCGTGGACTCCTGAAAGGTCTTGGAGACCCCAAGTGTCACCAGATCACACTGTGAGAACTACTCATGTACTGTGTGCACCCACCCATAATTTGTATAAATCATATTGATTAAGAAACACAGGTGGTTAAGAGCGTGGTACCTGGAGCCATTACTGCCTGGGTCTGAATCCAGCTCTTCCACTATTAATGGTGTGACCTTGAGCAAGTCACAATTTTCCTTGTCTGTAAAGTAGGGGTAATAGCTATACATCTCATAGGGTTGTCAGGGGGATTGGTAGAATTGCATCCAGGTTTAGAATCATGCCTGAAGCAAGTAACAGTGTGATAAATATTAGCTGCTCTTGTTTTCATGATTATATTTCTACATAAGAAGATTTTGTACAGATTTAAGACAATATCAGGCTTGAATGGTGATTTTTTTTTGCCAAACTTCTGGCCCTACCCCTTCTCTAAAATGGCACCATCAGATAGCAAGAGTCCTCAAGACTGAAATCCCAAAAATACTAATACCAGAATTTTCCCCAGACTGGCCACCTCCACCCTGGGTGTGCCAAGGACATAGTGGTGACCATGAAGTCAGACGTGCCCATCACCCTGAAGAAGATGGGGATCAAGTGCAAGCTCTCCAAGATCGTGTTTCAGCAACCCCCGGACCAAGTGTCCGACTGGGATGACCGCATGCGCACAGTCAAGTGGGTGGACGTGCCCAGAAACACCCCCGGGACTTTCACGACAAAGCGAAAAGTGAGTAGGGACTTCAAACACAAATCTGGCCAGGCCTGCCAGGCCTGGGTGCCTACCGCCCTCAAATGTCACGTCGCATCATTTCCTTCTTTCATGGAAAAAAGAAAAAGCTCCCATTCCACTTGCCTTTTTAAAATATATATATATATATTTTTATTATTGACAGTATTACAGTGTCCCGCATCTCCCCACCACCACTTTACCCCCCTTGGCCCATTCCTACTCCCCGCCCAGGCCTTCACCACACTATTGTCTGAGTCCATGGGCTATGCCTATAAGTATATAAGTTCTTTGGTTTATCTCTTCTCGCCCCCTCCCTGCCAGATATGTCAGTCTGTTCCATACCTCCATACCTCAGGACTTATTTTGTTGGTGAATTTATTTTGTTCATTAGATTCCACAAATAAGTGAGATCATGTGCTATTTGTCTTTCTCTGACTGGCTTATTTCACTCAGCATAATACTCTCCAGGTCTATCCATGCCATGTCAAAGAGATTCTTCTTTTTTATAGCTGCATAGTATTCCATTGCCATTCCACTTGACTTTGATTTCAAAAGTGACAAACTGAACGTCCAAGCATGCCACCTGCCATCCATAGTACACGTACCACAAGAACCACACTCCCTGATTGGGAGAGCTTTGGATTAAGTCTTGATATCTCATTGAGCAAGTCCTCCCACCTTTTTCTTCAAAAATGTCACGGCTAGTCNCCATTGCCATTCCACTTGACTTTGATTTCAAAAGTGACAAACTGAACGTCCAAGCATGCCACCTGCCCTCCATAGTACACGTACCGCAAGAACCACACTCCCTGATTGGGAGAGCTTTGGATTAAGTCTTGATATTTCATTGAGCAAGTCCTCCCACCTTTTTCTTCAAAAATGTCACGGCTAGTCTTGGGGTTGTTTCCTTTTTCCCTCGGGTGTCCAGAATGAAATGAGTTATGGACAGAATCTCATCTCTGGCCCATGCATGCGCCTCTTTTAGGTATTCCTTGGTTGGATTCCTTATAATAATATAAGCAAAGATGAACCCACGCCCAGCACAGGAAGGAGAACATGGATTACCTACCTTTGTGGTCCTCAGCCATCTGTCCCCTTGCCCCCCAGAGGAGATCAGGATCCTGAATCTTTTTTGCTCAGTCCCTTGATTTTTGTCTTTTGTTTCTTTTTTAACCGATGCATTCTAACAGGCATAACATTTAGTTGTAGTTTTTAACTTTATTTTTTTTAAGGCTGTTGTGTGTGCTTATCCATATTGTTGCATGAGGCTACAGTACACTCATTTCACTGCTATATAAAATTCCTTTATTATTTACCATCCATTCTTTGAAAAGTTACTCGGGGTTTCACTGCTATGGACAGTGTTTCTGTGAGCATTAGTGTTCACGTCACAGTGTATTCATTTGCAAGAGTTTATATTTCCAGAAGCAGAATTGCTGAATCACAGCATATGCGAATGTTCAACTTTCCAGGATAACTCCCAAATGTTTTCCAAAATGCTGTACCTATTTATGCCTCTACAGCAAAGAGATCCTATTGATCTACATTCTCTCCAACATTCGGCGTTGTCAGACTTTTTTATCTTTATCGTTGAAATGACAGAAAATAGTTTTGTTTGGGGCCTACTTTGCATTTCCCCAATCGCTAAATAAAGTTGAATGCTTCTTCATGTCATTATTGGCCATGCAAGTTATCTCTTATATAAATGCCTTTTGCCCATTTTTCAATTACGATGCTTGTCCTTTATATGAGTTATTTTATTTTTTATAAACTCTACGGTTCCTATTATTTGTCTGCAAACGTCTTCACCAAACTTCAGCTTATCTTTTCACTTTCTTTAATATGTCTTTTCATGAAAAAAAAAATGTTCATCTCTCCTTTTATAATTATTTCTTTTTGTGTCTTGTTTTTAAAACCCTTCCCTAACTGGGAAGAAATATAGTCACTTTTTTCCCTTATCTTTTTTTTTACATTTAAGAGGTTTGCTTTTGATATTTAAGCCCATGACTCACCTGGGTTTTATGGTATGAGGCAAGGATCCAATTTTATATTTTCGCATCTAGATAACTAATCTTGCCAAGTCCCTGCTTTGTTTAGCCCTTCCGTTGTGATCTGCCATGACTCCCTTGTCATCTAAATTGTACGTGTGCCTAAATGTTTCTTGTCTCTACAGTCTACTTTACTGCCAGTTTTCCTGTCCCTGTGCCAGTTTTACGCTGCTTTAATTTCTGTAGCTTCATAATCAGCCTGGATATCTGGAAGGGAAGTCCCTCTTCTATACTGTTTTGTCCTGTTTAGTTACTCTTGGCCCTTTATTTTTCTATATAATTTTGGAATCCATTTACCAAGTACAGTTGACCCTTGAAAAACACTGGTTTGAACTGTGTGGGTCCACTTATAACAATATATATGATGGATTTTTTTTAGTAAATACTGTTAATATATTTTCTCTTCCTTATGATTTTTCTTAACATTTTTTCTCTAGCTTGCATTATGGTAAGAATACAGTATATAATAGATATAGCATATAAAATATGTGTTAATTGACTTTAATGTTGGCAGTAAGGCTTCTGGTCAACAGTAGGCTATTAGTAGTTAAGTTTTGGAGAGTCAAAGTTATACATGGATTTTCGATTGCATGGAGTTCGGTGCCTCTAACCCCCATGTTGTTCAAGGGTCAACTTTACTATGAAAACTCTGATGGAAAATTGATTGGAATTGGATTGCATCTATAAGTCAGTTTAGGGAGAATTGACAATTTTATAATATTAATTTGTCCTTTCCATTAGCAAGGTATGTCACTCTATTTAGGTCTTTAAGAGTTTTTTACTACCATTTGGCTTCTTTAATAGTATTAGGACTCTTCAGGTTTTTTTATTTGTTCTGGGGCCAATTTTATTAAATTATTTTTCTAGGAATTTGCCCTTCAAGTAAGTTTTTATATGTATTTTCATAAAATTACTCATAATATTTTCTTACCATACATTTAAATCTGTAGGATTGATAATAATGTCCCCCTTTTCGTTTCTGATACTGGTTATTTGTGTGTGTGTGTTTTTCTTGATTGATCTCACCGAAAGTTTTTAAAATCTTTTCAAGTAACTTTTGGCTTTGTTGGTCCTTTCTGTTTTAGATTTATTTTCTATTTTATTAATATCTGTTCTTATCTTTATGATTTCCTTTCTTCTACCTTCCTTGGAGTCCGTCTGACCCCAAACTCATGTCTGTGCAGTCCTAATGCCCTCAGTAATTCCTCGTTTCCTTTCCCATTTACGAGTTATTTTAGGTTTGCCTTAATCCTTTATTCTGGAACTCGAGTGTATGAGTTGTGTCCATTTGCATTGGTAGAACAGTGTCCTGTTACTTCCCACAATGCCCCTGTGACGCAGCTGGCTCTGCATCACTGAGGACACGGCTGCTTTTGTTACAGGTGATAGAGACAGACCCTGAGCCTGCTCACTCAGTACTAGAAGAAAACTACAGAGAGCTGCTGCTGCAGATCAGTGCCAACGTGAACTTCGCGTCATACAAGTGCCAAACGAGCAACGTGCGCTTTAAGGAAACACTGGTTTACCAGACCCGAGTGTTTGAGTGAGTCATCAAAAGCCCCCAACACTCATCAAAGAAGTTCTTTCATTCCATCATTCACTCACAAAGCAATTGAAGTCGACACTTGAAATCAAGATTTCGGCCAGAAGCCCTGGCCAGTGTGGCTCAGTTGGTTGGGCATCCTCCTGGGCACTGAGGGGTTGCCAGTTTGATTCCTGGTCAGGGCACATGCCTGGGTTGCAGGCTCGATCCCTAGTAGGGGGCATGCAGGAGGCAGCGGCCTATCACTGTCGCTCTCACATCAATGTTTCTCTTTCCCTGTCCCTTCCGCTGTCTCTAAAAGTCAATTTAAAAAATCTTTAAAAAAGAAAAACGTATAAGCCAGGAAACTGGCACCCGGTGATCAGCTTCAAAGGGAATAGCCCTTGCAGTAATTCATACCACCACCTAGGAACTATTCTTGTTGGCTCCCCAGGCGCCAGCTAAGACAATATTCACACTAGTGGGGATGGGATCGATCTTAGCCAAGAAACTCCATGACCACCCCATGATCAACGGAAGCTAACATTTCTCATGACCACTCCACGGGTATTGCTTCCAGGCTCCCTGCAGGCGACATGCCCAGTTACAAGAGTCACTATGCTCAGAGAACCCCAAAGCTATAGCTTCCCTCCAGATAATCATAATTCCTCCAGACCAGAGGCAATGTACCAAGCAGGGCTCCTTTCTACTATAAACAATGTTGCCTGATAACACAGCTGACAGTTCTCATCTGTTTTCCAGGGAAACTGAGCTAGAAAGTTAATTCAAAGTCAGAACTGTCCTTAAAAGGAGAAAGGGTTATGTTACCCCTTCACCCACACTCAGACTCAGGGATACAAGGATGCCCTGGATTCTGCTTCCAAAGAGCGCGTGGTCTCGGGTGGGGGCGAGGGGAATCGGAGAACTGAAGGTTGCAGCATGGTGCCCCGTAGAGGTGGTAAGAACACCTGACGCAGATGAGTATGGCAGAGACAGAGTGTCGCGGGAGGCTTCCCAGGCAAGCGGTGCCCCAGCTGAATTCTGGAGAAGAGGAGGCATCCAGTGAAGACGTGGGAGGAAAAGGCCTCCTAAGCAGAGACAGCAACACAGACAGAAAGGGAAGGCCTGTGACTAAGCTTTGAGAATTGCAAAACAAAAATGTAAGCCACTGATCGTTCTACCTGGTAAAAATTAGTAACTAATTTGTTCAACTCATTTTGCGTTTGGCGCACCTCAAGTGTGCTCTCAAATTCGCATAGCGCCAAAGGCGCGAGGAAAGGCGCGGGCTGCTCTGCTGGCGCCCGTCCCTGCTCAGGCGGGTCAGCAAGCTCTGGCCGCGGACGGGCTCCAGCCGCCAGCTATCTTTGTAAGCAGGCTTGTTGGCTCACATCCATGCCCATTCGTTTCTGCACCGTCAGTGGCTGTGTTTGCACTACAGCAGCAGAGCGAGTGGTTGCTGCAGAGACCTACGGCCCGCGAAGCCAAAAATACCTTACTGTCTGGCCCTTTGCCTAAACCAAGAATTCTTTTTATGTAAACTCTTCCATGCCACTAAGATTTCTTCACTTTATGAAAATTTCCTTTAGAATGAAGACCGCTACTCATAAATTCGCACAATGAATCTAAGCCCCTGGAGTCAAAGCACTTGACTTCAGGGATACCTTCATGGTCTACATGGATGAGATCGTGGAGATGTAATCCCTAAACCCACCCTAGACCTACTCCCCTAAAACCAGGAGAGCATGTGTGTTTCTTTCTCTAACACAATCATTTTCTTGTATCAAGACCTCGCCCTCCTGCTGTCATGTGTCTATGATCAAGTTTAATAGTGATTCAGAAAAAGCTTGTCTCCCAGTTCTTGTCTTAGACCAGGGGGAAACTTGAGGCAAGAAAAAGCTCCACTGATTCAGGACCTGAGACAAGTCTGTGTCTCAGCCAGTGCATCTCAGGAAGAGGTCGGATGGTGTCTGAGGACAGGGACAGTGTTTCTGGTGGGAAGTGTTTCAGGAAGGAAAGGAGCTGTGGAATTTGCACCCCAGGAAGGTACTGTCGGGTGAAATAGATTTTTGTTGCCTCTCTCATGGGAGCTTTTCAGGATTACCATGATGCATGCTGAGAGTTCATTGCATAGGGTGCCAGTGGTATGCAAGATGGTTTTAGTAATAAACATGTGGATATTTTCACTTTCAATAGCAATGTATATATTTTGTGTTTTGGAAGGAGGTATAATTGGTACATCAAATGCATGATTTCAGATAAAATTGCTTAAAACTTGCCTTATAAAGAAATTTCTTAACAACGAAGTGACTTGACCTAGAGAAAAAAGTAACGGTGTAGATGATGGATGTGCCCACAAGACAAAATTCATTTGCGGCACATTTCTCAAATCCATCCCCTGATCTGTTTGCAGGTTGGAACTGATTAATACAGGAAGTGTGCAGCTGGAATTCGGCTGGACCTCAGAAGAGACAGCCAAGATGGTCAGCTTTGCGATGCCAGATAACCAAGGTAAATGCAATGACAGGTAAAACCCAGGGTCTGAACTGAGTCCTCAGTTAGTCAAAGAGCCTTGTTCGTGCAGAAGCGAGCACTGCTCCAGCAGCAAGCACTGCTTACCTACGAAGAAGCAAAGCAGAGGCCTCCTGATGTCTGCAGAGCCAAATGGGCCTGAGAAACTCAAGAGCCGACCTCTTCCCTCCTGGAGCCTGACCCTGCCCCCCACAAGGCCAGCACCCTCTCTCAGATCCTTAGGAATCTCTTCTTCTAGATATTAACCTTTTAGGAGATTACAGACCCTTGGAGAAATGATGAAAGCTATGATCTGTGTCCCCAGGAAATTACACACCGCCCCCAATTTGCAGTTGATACACGTGAAGCACTTGGTAGGCAAATATCCGTTACTCCCGCTTCAAATTGCAGATTCCCAGGCCTTCTAAACGGGCCCTTATCCATGGACCCCGGATTGTGAACTCCTACTTTAAAACAGTGATTCTCCAAAAATTATGTTCACAAACCTTTATTTTTGAGGCAAAAGATCCACAGACATCTACTGGGCCTACTCCCTTGGACCAAAAGGAAACAAATTTGAAACTTGATGGAATTAATGGCAATATTTTTCACAAGTCACCTGTGAGATCTAAGAGTCAATTCCTTACCCCTAGTGCCCAAAGTTAAGTATATCTGCTAGAGGACGTGAGCTCACAGACCCCACAGAAGATCCCTAAGGACCGGTGAGTGGGCTACCTTCTCCCTGTCCTCCCACTGCAAATACAGAATATCACTGGCTCTCTGTCTGCCCCCAGGTTCTCCTCAAAAAGATCAGCTTAGCCAGCACACGGGCAGCACTCTGGACAGTGGCATGGACCACTGGACTGAAGGTTCCCCACTCTCTTTCTCTGTGGAGCCCATGTTGGGCATTGTACCCGTGGGGAAGACTCAGAAGATCCAAGTGAAATTCTCCCCATTGGAAGTTGGAGACTTCGAGAGCAATCTCTTCTGCCAGTAAGGAGATGTGCTCCCCAGAGCAAAGCTCTGCAGCTCCTATCCCTCTTCTCTGCCACCACTACCACCACTATTCTTTCCAACCTCTCCACGGCCCCAAATTGCCACACTTCGCTTTAGAAAGATTCAAAGGGGCCAGCCTTAGGAGAACCCGGAGAATGTAGTCTTCTGTATTTCTCGTCAGCTCTCTCTGACTCTTCCTCTGGCCCACCTCTCCCTTCCTGGCCACATACAAAAGTCCACTGGGCAACAAAATAGTTGGCAGCCAGACGGATTCCAGCCCCGGAGCAAGCATGAACTTAGGAAGGCTTCCTTGTACCTTTACTAATACCAGGTTTCAGTACACACCTTGCAGAGCTATCGTTAAGACTGAACGACGTAACACTGTGGAGCTTAGAACAGTGCCTGGCACATTATAAGCACAACAAACATTAGGCGGTGGTGAAGGTGGAGGTGGTAGACCCAGTGCATAGTAAGCAAGGAAGAGATGGGGCCCAGACCCAGTTAGAGAAAATCAATAACCCATGACAGTGAAAGTCCCTGATATGGTGCGCACTCCAAGAAAAGCTCCATGGAGAATGCCCACCTTACAGAAGAGTTCCGTGAACCATGGCTGAGTGTGGCAGCCATAAGAGCCTCCTGGAAACCCCACAGTCACACTGCAGGGACCCTCCTGCACCTAAACTTGGACCTGGGCTGGAAGTCTGCTCACATCTGGTTCACTTTCTCCTAGGAGCTCAGGACACTTTTTTAGGATTTCTGCATCACTTTCCATATCCCACTAGATGCCATGAGAGAGCCAAAGGATAAACCATTTTACAACAGGGAGATTTTTTGTACCACTGATGGAGGAAGTAGCTTGAGGCCATACTTAGGTACACAGAAGGGACCAGAATTCAGGCCCCTCATACTCCGCCCATTCATGCATTCATCCACTCAACTGTTAATTAATCAACACCTACTATGTAGCATGTACTGTTTAAGGCACTGAGGTTATGTTGTTGACCAAGACCGACCCAGCCTCTGCTCTCATGGAGCTCATATTTTAGTTGATATAATATTCATTTCCAACCAACTAAGAAAGCAACAGTGGATTAAACTGAAAACTAAATAATAAAAATAACCTTATCCTCTCAGGATTCCCAACCTGCCACCTGGAGTGCAAGGCCCAGTCCTGTCAGCAAAAGGGCGGAGCTTCTTGCCCATCTGCCATTTTGACCTGAAAGACTCGGACTACATCACCGGTCATCGGCGCAACCCGGATCTCCGAGGGCCTGGTGGTGGGGCTCTGGATCCAAACACCCGGGTGATCGAGTTCACCAGTGTGGGCATAGGAGGGAAGAATATCCGGTGAGTTGCCTAGGTTTGCATCAGTTGAGTTCAGTAAGTCAATCCCCCTATAGAACTCGGAGGAAGAATTCAGAGAATTGAGCTAGATGGGTACCTAGGAGCAGGCTTCACATCCTGGGGTTTGACTGAGAGAGCTGCTACAGTAAGAAAGCTGAGTTCTGTCTCCTTAGTTTTACACCGGGGGAAATTTAGAAGGCATAAAAATATAATCCCTGACCACCACCTTGACCAAGAGGATCACTAGGGCAGAAGGTCCCTAGGCATCATTATTACTCTGAAGTCCAAAGCTCCAGCCATACTTTGGAGCCCCAAATGAGATGTGGTTTTCATTTCTACAGTAACAAAATATCTGTAACCGTTCTGATTCCCACATAGCTGGACCATGCTAGGGCAGGCAAGTCCTAAGAAAGTTTCTCTTAATGTTCAACCCCTCTCTCACTCTCTGCTATCGATTCTCCCCACTCGGCCAGAACTTTCACAATCCTGAATCCAACCACTAACACCTACTCCTTCCGCTGGATCTCTGAAGAAACTGAAAGTCTCCAGAACCCTTCAGCCTTCACATGCCTTACAGAGAAGGGCTGCATCTACCCTGAAAAGAAAGCCGAGGTGTGTGTGTGAATGAGGACCACTCAGCCCAGGGCTTTAATCATTCTATCCCTCTCTGCATAGTAAGTGTTCTGTAGACCAGAGATACAGTTAGGGAGAACAGCCTACCAGTGCATCCATCAACAAGTATTTCTTGAGTGGCTACTGTATACGTTAGGCAATCCTCATGGACAAGACAGACCTGAACTCTCTTGGTTGGCCATGGAGAAGCAGATCTCTAGTATTTGGAGTTTGAAAAATTGAGATTATTGAAGCAGAAAAGGGGAGCTGGACACCCACCAATGCCTGGACACTGTAGAACAGTGTTATTTTTGTCCAAGGGATTGACAGAAGTGAAAGGACACAGATGTGTTTTCACTTGGTCAGGCCAAAGGTCAAAACAGAACATTGGAGCCATGCCCCATGTCTTAGTACTACTGTTTCCAAAGTGATATAGGTTAGGGGGTCTGACTTTAAGAAATAAGAACTCACTGGCCAAAATAGATCTGTGGGTCCCTGTAAGTCCTGCAGAGAATCTTTGAGGCAGAAATAAATCCATGAAACAGAAATTACAAATTCATATGCCTTTGGGGAGGGTCATACAAATGAATGAAGCAGACCAAGGGGACCATGACAGGGAATGCAGGGCACCAGAGTTGGCTGGCCACAGTGCTTCTCCAGTAGATGACCACCACACAGACAAGTGGGCCCAGGGTTACCAACTCTCCTAAATTTTTCGAGAAAAGTTAAAATCCCAAATTGCTATCCAAATCTCTCCATTTGTACATGCCATCCAACGATCTGGTGTGAAATATGGCAGCCTAGCCAACAGAGGCTGTGGGTGGTGTAGACCTCCTCAGAAAGACCTGTGGGCAAACAGGGCAAACAGACATTGATGTTTCTGGTCCAGCCAGACTTATATGCCCTTCAGACAGGGTAGAAAGTCAGTGGTCACCTGATAATGTCAGCCGTCATAACCCCAGTGCGACAAGCCTCAAAGGGCACATGGAGCAAGTAAACAGAAGTGCCTCTCACCACTCTGTTCCAAACTCTCTTCTCAGATTGCCTTCCAGTTCATGCCTATGCATCTGAACATCACAGAAGCATTCTGGACTTTCTTAGTCCCCGAACACAACATCACCGTCCCTTTCCTGCTGGTAGGCAAAGCCTCCGACCCTCTCGTCAATCTGAACAAGTCACACCTCAACTTAAGTTGTCTCCTCATTGGTAAGGCCGCCCTGTTGGTTTACATTTAGAGTTGGCTTGACCTTTAGGGGAGGGAAGTGGGGCCAACCCAACAATGAGTTCTAGGAGCTGGCTGGGGTGGGGATTTTTCCTGGTGCCCTTGAGAAACATGCCTGAGGGCCTTTCTCACTGTCACAAAGCCACAAAATAGTTACCTCTTAATCCAATGTATGTTCTAAACCCATACACTAATAGCCAAAGGAAATGTAGGAGCCTTGTTACAGATCCTACTTGGAAGATTCCTTTAGGGCCTGGACTGACCATCTTCATTTCCAGTGCCTCATGTCAGCCTCATCCTGCGTGTGCATGACCCAAATTTCTTTGCTTCTTGGTGTGTGCCACAGTAGTCAGATTTCTCTGCCATCCTTTCATGCATTTTTTTGGTTCAACAAATATTATCAAGTGCCGTATATGACCTAGGCACTCTTCTGGGAGCTGGAGATGCAATGGATAAAGCCATAGTTCCTGCCCTCATAATGGTTATATTCCAGGAACAGGAAGCAGACTACCAAAAAATAAAAAAGCAAAATATATAGCATGCCAGGTGTTCCTAAGTGTTCTAGAGAGGAATAAAGCAGGTTTGAGAGAATAAAGAGTGCCACTTGGCAGTGGGAAGGTGACATTTGAGCAGAGACCTGACGGAAATAAAGGAAGTGACTGCCAGGTCCCTTATAACCCTGTGAATCTATCACATGGATGTGTTAAGTGTGTGTGTGTGTGTGTGTGTGTGTGTGTGTGTGTGTAAAATACAGCTAACGCCAGAAGATGTTTTAGTACTTCAATTTTTATTTATGAAAGTAATAAGCCAATCAGTGTAGCATAGTATAAGGAAAAATTTAATAATCTCTTCCCACCCATCCTATCTTATCCTTCCCTTTCCATCAAAGAAAACCAGTGTCAACAGTTTGATGTGTAGTATTTCCATGCATTTCTCATACTGATACATCTAAGTCAGCAGGAGGAAATTATGATGTTTAGTAAGGTCTTCAACAAGTAAGTGAGCAATATGTCATAAGAATAATAACAGCATGACAAACAGAAATTAACCTAGGAATGCAAGGGCCGCGCATTTCGATATCATCACTACATTAACCGTTCGAAGTAGAACAACCATGTGATCTTATCGATACATACTGAAAACTCATTACTAAAATTCAGGGGGGCATTCTCAACAAAAACTCTAAGAGGAAAAGAGGACTAGAGGAAAAAATTTGAATAAAGAAGGTTAACCAAAATCAAGAGGCAAATGTTATCTGATAACCACGTCAGTTAAAATCGAGAATTAGTCAAGGCTGCTCCTTATCACCATTGTTATTGAACACTTCCTCAGTGACTTTAGCAAATACAATAAAACAAGGAAATTAAATAGTTGTCATAAACATTGTGGGGAAAGGAGACAAAACTATCTCATTTTGCTATAGCTGATTACTTCAGACATAGAGAACTTCAGGAGTCGCCAGAGAAAATCAAAACAAGTGGTAAATCAACAAGATAATTTAGTAAGTGGCTAGATACAAGTCAAGAATGCAAAAATCAATTGTTTCTCTTTCTTTTAGCGGTAAGCACTTAGAAACAAAGAAGTTCTATTTAGTATTGACAAGACCTGTATAACATCTAAGGTTCAACATAACAAGAAAAGCGCAGGACCTACATGAAGAAAACTATAAAATCTTATTAAAATGCCCCTAAACAAGATCTGAATATTTGTCAATTCTCCCAAAAGTAAATGCAAAATTAATCAAGTTCCAACTAGAATCTCAGCTAGGGTTGCCAAGTAAAAATACAGAAACATAGTTAAATTTGAATTTCAGATAACAGTGAACAAATTGTAGTATAAGTGTGTCAGCATAAGCATGTCCCATGCAATATTTGGGACAGATACTAAAAAATTATCCGCTTCATATGGTAACCTTAGTCCCAAAGGACTGCAGGGGTGGGGGGAGAATTGAAGAAAATGATTCGAAAGTTTTTGTGGAAAAATAAATGCTCTACAATAGTCAAGGAAAGTAAGAAAAAGCAAAATAGCGAAAGCACCTCTATTTATTAGCCAGGACCCTGTCAGGACCCTTCTGACCTACCCGAGGTCTAGTAAAGAGCTCACCGTAGGGGTGACTTACAAAGGTATGAGCAGAGCAAAGGGGCCTCCCAGGGAAGGTGGGCCCGTTAACAGCAGCAGGAAGGCCCTGGGTCTGAAGAGACAAGGAGGGAAAGAGTGTCGCCAGAATCCCAGGAGAGCTGGGACAGTGGAGGAACCAGCCAGCAGCAGCAGGCAATGGATGGGGCGAAGTTCTAGAGGCAGAGCCGGAATCCCGCCCGGGGAGGAAGGGCACGTGCAGAGCCAGAGGAAGAAAGAGGCCCAGGAGCTTGGGGGAGGAAAGAATAGAAGCTGGAGAATCTCTGGGAGGGAGGCGCCCTCTTGCCCACAGAGCAGCGCCTGCCGAGATACTTCAGGAGCGGGCAGGAGGCCTCCACTGAGGGCTGGCGTTTCCTCCTCAGGCCGGGAAGCCAGGGAGACCGTGCAGATCATCAACAGGGAGGAGCAGGGCTTCAATTTTGCCTTCCAGGAAAACTCCCGATTTTCTGAAGGTTTCAGCAACAGCCTCATCGTATGTCCCATGGAAGGCTGGATCCCACCGCTGTCCAGGTAAAGAAATAGGAAGGCCCCCAAGACTCACCCACCTAATATGGCAGGAGTCCCAGGCCTGCCAGCCAAGAGAATCAGTTTCCCTTAGAATGCCCCATTTACAGCCTTCCAACTCCGAAATTTAGATGTTAACAGTCCCATCTCTGTCCTACTTATTCCCTGCTGTTCATTTTCCTGATGAATTATGGAGCATCGAGAATTTTNATCTCTGTCCAACTTATTCCCTGCTGTTCATTTTCCTGATGAATTATGGAGCATCGAGAATNGTCCCATCTCTGTCCTACTTATTCCCTGCTGTTCATTTTCCTGATGAATTATGGAGCATCGAGAATTTTAAGCCCTTGTTTTCAATATTTTCTCATATATATTCTTTCCCTTGCTAGCTACTATATTTGAGAATCCATAAAGCAGTGTACTGCCTTGCCTGGAAAACCTTCAAAATGCATCATAATTTGGAGTTATTTTGCCTTTTCCTCATAAGGTTTCTGCTAACTCATTGGCCCCATATTCTTTAGCAGGTCTTAACAGGTGGCCCAGTCAGCTAATCTGTCTTCTCCCCCAACCAGGTTACCAATTGATATTTTCTTCACACCAAAGCAGGAAGGAGATGTCAACTTTAACTTGATCTGCAATGTGAAAAGGAAAGCCCAACCTTTGACCTTGAATGTCAAGGCTGAGGGCTACACTATGAATGCAGAGGTCAAGTGCAAAGACAGGACTGGCTCAACCACTCTCTTGACTCCCAATCAGATTACCGTTCTCAACTTCTATGAGGTAAAGGTGTGAGAGGGCCTTGCTCTCTCTTGGTTGCAACACTGGCTGGGAAAGTCAGTACCAGTGAATATTAGCTAAGCCTCTCTGTTTCAAATGCCAAGGGGACCAGGAGAACTGAAATATGCCAGGAGCAGCTCCATCCACAGAACGTGTGTGGTTTTGATGTGAATGCTTCTAATTTTTCAGTGGGTGGAGAGACGGTAGGGAAGGGGAAGAATGCTTGTATTAAACACACAGAAAGGATGTTTGGCTACCAAGGGAGGTCTAAGATTTAAACTGCCATCTTACTCTTCGGATATGAGGAGCCCCCAACACTTAGTAGCTCTTGCTGGAATATCTGGCCACATTAACCTAATGATACTCAACTCACTAACATCATCCTCCATGCCTATTTTCCAAGGGATATTTTTCCCCAATGCATTACATATTCTGATCCCAGAGGAGTGAGCCATGGTTTGCATTCACTCAATATACTGCTCTGTTCTCTGTCTCTCAGGTGGAGATGAATGAATGTGTCCAGTGTGAATTCACCTTTATCAACACTGGGAAGTTCAACTTCAGCTTCCAGGCAGAGCTGTCTGGCCCCAAGGCCCTGCTGCAGTACTTGGAATTTTCACCCACTGATGGCACTGTGGATGTGGGGCAGAGTGCCCCTGCCATCCTGTCCTTCCAACCGTTTAAGAAATGTGTCTTGAAGGGCCTGGAGCTCAGAATCAAGGTGAGGCCATTGAACATTGTCCGACAGCATTCTGTCCTGGGAGAGTAATTCTCCTGAGTGTTTCTGGTCTTCTCCACCCTGCCAGAAGCTCCTGGAGAGTGGTCATGTTGGAGATAGTCCCATAGTCTCTATTAATGGCCTCAGCCGAGGTGCCTGGTGAGTGTCAGTTGAAAAGCAGCTGAGCATCCATGCACTGGTATATCACGCAGCCATGAAAATAAATAAGGGAGATCGATGGAAGGTGGAGAGAGAGAGAGAGAGAGAGAGGAGAGAGAATATGTACAACATTTTCCAAGATAACTTATTGAATGAAAAAACAAGGAACTGCGATATCGGCGGGGATGGCAGAGAAGGACCTCTGAAAAACTGCTCTTCTATAGCAATGAGAACACTGGCAGAAACTATCAAAATCAACTTTTTCAGAACTCTCCAAATTAACCCTTCCACCCTTGGCATATTGGCCTTTGACCTCATTCCTGTCATCTCATGGTCACAAATGACCACCCCTCCTGCCACCCTGTGTCTGCATTACAGAATAGAAATAAGGGGAAGAGCCTGAAGGCAAAATACTTCCCCAGCACGACTGACTCCTTATCTGAGATGGGACGCCTTCTGTCTGCATCCTGACGGCCAGACTACGGCTGATGGCCTTTCACCGCAGGGAAGCGGGAAATCGCACGGGTCCTGTCCTTTCCCCGCTGACTTACTTTACTCAGCAGAATAAGTTCAAGACCCATGCGTGTCGCTGCAGATGGCAGTATTCCATCTCATGGCTGAGCAGGCGTCCAGTGTGTATATGTGCCACATCTTCCATCCTGTCATCCACTGAAGGACGCGCTTAGGTGCCACCGATTGCACTCATAGGCGGGACATAAAACAAAAAGCAACAAAGGAACAAAACACAAACGTAAAAACAAACAAAAAAATAGACTTGTAGATACAGACAACAGAATGGTGGTTACCAAAGGGGAAGGAGGCGGGAAGAGGCCGAAGGGGGTAAAGGGGGCCAAATACAAGGTGATGGAAGGAGACTACACTTCAGGTGGGGCACCCCCCATAGAGCACACAGGTGTCGCACCTGAAATTTATATAATGTTATTAGCTAATGTTACCTCAATAAATTTAATTTTTAAAATGTTTTAAAAGTGGGAAATCAAGTATTTTCACCAGTGTACATTGACAACCAACCAGAGTCCTGCTAATAAGGAAGCCGTGGAGTCAGATGTCGGGCAGTCACAGTCTCTGCCGCACCCCTCTGCCTTCAAGATGACTCGTTACTGCAGGAGCAAAGCAAGAGCCAGTGTAGAGTCTGTCTGCAGAGTAGCCCATCTTGCTTTCCTTAAATAAACAGACTTCTAACCTATGAGTCGGAATCTCTGAGACGGAACCCTGAGACCTGTATTTTTTTTAAAACATTTGACTGCCTCCCCCCTTCACCTGAGGACTTAAGGGCCCTCCCTCCCACTTCTCCTAATCACACTCCACTTGCCGTTCCCTCCCCACAGATAAGCCATGGTCCAACATTCATGTGCATCATCTCGGGCTGTGCCGTGAGCCCCGCTGTCCATTTCTCCTTCACCAGCCACAACTTTGGGACCTGCTTCATCTACCAAGCCGGGATGCCCCCGTACAAACAAACCCTGGTCATCACCAACAAGGAGGAAACGGCTCTGAGGTAAGCAGACCTCCCAGAGCCTCCAGGTGATTCTGCAGCTCCTTGTGGGTCCTACAGCCTGACACAGGTGAAGTCTGGCCACGACAGAAAAGGAGGGATTATGGGAATGAGTCAGACAGGTGGACATGAGTCCCGAGTCTCCTTTCCCCACCACTTACTCTGACGCTTGAGCCATGAGCTTCTCTGCTGAACATCCCCTTCTAAAAGGGAGGAGGGCAATGCCCAATGACCCGATGAGCGGTTTGATGGCTTCCATTTATTTTCCTCATGTAACAGACGTGGAAACTGAGGCTTGGAGAGTTAAAAAGTGAATTTCTCAGGCCAGTGATCTTACAGAAAATAGTGGATCTATACTGAGCCTAAGCCTTCTGATTCAAACCCAGCCTCTCCTCACCATCCTGCGTAGAATATTCCAGTCCAGGTTTCAGGCCCTATTACAGACCTAACAAAACAGAATCTCCAGAAACTGGCCAAGGGACCTGTGTCTATCCAAAGCTCTCTAGATTAGTGCTATGCAATAGAACTTTATTTGAAGATGAAATGTTATATATCTGCTCTATCTAACATGGCCGCTTGTCACTACATGTGGCTGGCTACAGAGCACTTGAAATGTGCTAGTGAAACTGAGGAACTGCATTTTTTATTTTATTTAATTGTAATTAATTTAAATTTAAGCAGCCACATGTGTCTAGTGGCTACCATATTGGATAACACAGGTCTAGACTCAAATCCCAACTTCTCCCTAGCTATGAGACCTTAGGCAAACTTTTTAAACTCTCCTCACCTCTGTCTCCTTTCCTGAAGTGGGGGATAATAACAGTACCTCCCCTGTAGGGCTATTAGGAGGATTAAATTAGTTCCTCTAGAGACAGTGCTTCGAATAGTGCCTGGAACATAGGAAATGCTCAATTGTTTGCTGCTGCTGCTACTGTGGTGGTGGTGGTGGTGGTGGTGGTGGTGATGGTGATGGTGATGGTGATGGTGATGGTG